TCTCCTCACTTCCCTGTGGCTGTGGTTGCCCTAAACTCAGTCTTATGGTTTTTCATGTCAAAAAGACTGCATGTTTTCTATCAAATTATTACCCCACACACACCCCCGCTACACCACACCTCAGGCTAAAAGCCATAAAAGTGTGATCTAACCTCCTACCATTCCCTTCTTCCAAGTTTCAAAACTCCTTTCCATAATCTGCTTTTGTTCACTCTCCAGTGCCTTCAGGTTATTATTGTATGTGTGTATTTTGTCTAGGGTTTATAACTGTTATCTCTGGAAGGGTGAGGCTCAGTAAGAATCTACTTGGCCATACTGAAAGTGGAGACTAGGTATAACAAAATAAAATTAATTCATGAAAATATAAAAATTATTTAGAAAAACATAAAACTTACTCTTAAACTCACAATCTTGAAAGAACCACTGTCCACATAATGATGGTGATATTATGCATTTTCCAACATATGTATATGTGTGTATAAACATTATACAAATTTTAAAATTAATATCTTAATGTACATATCACACTGTAACCTGAAGTTTTTTTATTTAATTATTATTTCAGATGTTATAGATTGATTTGCTTAATAGTCATTTTCTAATGCCCTTGTCCTTTTCCTTCCTTTACTATAAAGATTAAGAAGCTAAAGATCCTGTGTTTTCAAGACTCTCTTAAAACTAGTGATAGTCATGTGACTCATTTCTGGTCAGTAAGATGTGAGCAAAAGTCTGCTAGAAGGGAGATTTTGTGAAAAACTTTTCCTTTATTCATTAGTTGATCACTCAACTGATGCCTGGAGATGCATCAGTCTAATACATTCCTAACTGAGAATAATATAGGATCCGCATTTTTGTCATCTTAACTATAATTTGAAAACATGACTTTTATTTATTTTTTATTTTTTTGTTTTAGGTGAGGAAGACTCACTCTGAGATAACATCTGTTGCCAATATTCCTGTTTTTTCACTTGAGGAAGATTAGCCCTGAGCTAACATCTGTGCCAGTCTTCCTCTATTTTGTATGTGGGTCACCACCTCAGCATGGCTGACAAGTGGTGTTAGGTCCACACCTGGGATCTGAACCTGCTAACCTGGGCCACTGAAGCGGAGCACGCCAGACTTAACCACTATGCCACAGGGCCAGCCCTGAAAACATGACTTTTAATGTCATAGTATTCCATTTTATGAGAGTATCATACTTTATTTAATCAATTAACTACGAATTTATGTTATATCCAACTTCTCTGTGTTCTGTGATAAATATTATAGTACACCCTGATTATGTGTTATAGAATAGATTACTGGAAGCAGGATTGGAGACATTTTAAGGCTTTGATGTATACTCTCAGATCTACATTTTAATACTTTGTACAACCTTGACTATCCAAAGCAATGTATGAGAGATCTTGATTTCTACCTCTCTTGCAAACCTAATTATTATTGTTTCAATCTTAATTTTTAGAATTTCCTATTTTTTCCTCTTCTTTATATCAGAGTTCAGCATCTGTCTTTCTTTCCCCATAGTCAGATTCTAAATGCCTAGAATGCTCTTTCATCATATATATACATGACTTGCTCACTCACCCTCTTCAAGTCTGCTTGTGTCACCATCTAAACCGAGCTCTAGCTTACTCCCCCCACACCACAACCATATTTAAAACTGCATTCCTCTCACTTCCATTCCCCTTCCCTGCTTTGTTTTTTGCCATACTACTGGTCACCATCTGTTATACTCTATGTTTTAATTATTTATTTCTTTATTGCCTGTCTCCCATTCTAGAATTAAGCTATATGACAAGGTTCTTTTCTTCTTGTTTTGTTAACTCCATATCTCTAGGACTTAGAATAGTGCCCAGCATATAGGAGATGATCAATATTACTTGAATAAATAAATCTTTAAAAACCATTAATAATTTACTCTATGGACATATGCCCCTTTATCTTCTTTTTATATAGAAATATCTCAGAAACATTTAAAAATATTTTTAAAATTTACTTAAACAATGATTTAGATCAGTAATTCTCAAAGTGTGGTCTGCAGACCAGCAGCATCTGCATCCCCTGGGAACATATTAAAATGCAGATTCCCAGGCCCCAGTAAAGACTGAATGAATCAGAAACTCTGTGGGTAGGGCCCATTTCTAAAGCCTGTGTTTTAACAGGCCTTTAAGGTGATTTTGATGCATGCTAAAGTTTGTGTATCATTGATTTAGATTCACCTCTCCATGTCTATTTACTTTTATTGTTCACCTCCAATCATTTTTAGACACCATTTCCTCATTCACTGACACTAACTTTAATTCATTTTTTACTGCACAGGATGGCTTTCAGCATTCATTTGTACTGTTCAGGCATACCTATATTCCTGACTACCCCGGGTGTCACACTATTATGAGTTCTCCAAGAGGTGTGGGAAATTTAACTTTGCCATAACCTGCAATTGTTTTATCCTTCTAAAAAGTGGAGATTTTCTACAGTTCTGGACAACGATGATTCATTCTGTGCAGAGTGCCAGATTTCCAGTTGGTAGTAAATTACTAATGGAAACAGCTTTTTCATTTCATTTTCTTCCTCTGATAGTAAATAAGTTATTTGGAAATGAGGGCATAATATCCATGAGTTGATTTTTCAACACATGCATGTGAATGCACACACACACACACGCACATTCCATTCCCAATATTTATACCTTTTAATTCTCTGAAGTGAGAAGGCCAGGAAGGCAGGAACTTGAATGGGAAATACTTGCAAAGATGGCATTTAATCACTTATTTATTGAGGGCCCATCATTATGCTAGACTAATATCTAGGTGGAATATTTATTAAGCAGAATTGATCATGACTAGGCAAGTCTTGCTTACTGACTCATATGTTTATTCTGAGGAACAAATGAAGTATTGTAGTGAATGTGCTGTGAAAAATGTAAAAGGTGACATACATGCCAAATATTACTATTACTTTATATTACAAAATCATTTTTGTCCTTATGTCACTGTTTTTAGTGTAACAACTTAAATTTTATTTTATTTTTTTATTTTTTTGTGAGGAAGATCAGCCCTGAGCTACAATCCATGCCAATCCTCCTCCTTTTGCTGAGGAAGACCAGCCCTGAGCTAACATCCGTAACCATCTTCCTCCACTTTCTGTGGGATGCCGCCACAGCACAGCCTGATAAGCAGTGCATTGGCGCGCGTCCGGGATCCGAACCCGGGGCCAGCAGCGGAACACGCACACTCAACCGCTACGCCATGGGGCCAGCCCCACAACTTAAATTTTAAAACAGTTCAGCTGTAATTTTTATCTATGACTCATGAGTTAAAAAAAAATATCTAGGTATGTAGCAGAAAATAGGTCTCCTGTGCAAACCCAAATTGATTCACACTACCTTACAGAATGCATGCTTAAGAATAATTCTGAGGCCAAGTCTTGATTCACTCAGAAAGAGTGCAGTGATCCATTAACAATGTCTGCTATTGGGCGACAACAAGGAGTAGTGGCATATGTAGCAATACGTTTGAAATCCCAGATTGAGGTGTTGGTGTATAAGTGCATTGAATATAAGAAAAAACGGAATGATTGTTCAGAAAATCACTTTCATTCATCTTCAATCACAATTCATTTTCAGTCTTTAAAAAAATGGTAAATAGAAGAAACCCAGTGCTGAGTTATAGTCGTAATTCATTACTTTAATGAAAGAATTTGTGCTTGATAGGAGAAATCATTGTGAATTCAATATCAAGTTTAATATCATATCTTCAGATTCATCATCATTCATGAATAGGCACAGAAACTTTTACTTTGTCAAACAACACCATGGAGTGTGCTCAGTGAAAATTTTAATTAGTGTTGAATCATGCATATTAAAAGAATTTAAACTGTGGAAATAATATATGTACATGATAAAAAAGTTCAAACAGTATACAATAAAAAGGAGGTCTCCCTCCAATTCCAGACCACATTCCTGTACTTCTGCGCCCAATGGCAACCACTACTAAGTTTCTTCTGTATTTTTTCAAACCAAGTCTATTTATATACAAATATATATATATATAAAATATATTTATATGTATAATATAATATATATACACACACACACACACAGACAGGCAGACACACACACACTCTTTTGTACACAAGTGGGAACATACTATATACACGGTTCAGCAACCTGCTTTTTTCATTTAACAATATATCTTGGACATCATTCCCTACTAGTACCTATGTATCTTCAGCTGCTTTCTCTCATCTTCTCTTAATTTTGTGTTAACATTTTTTACATAAATAATAACCGTTTTGTAAAGTTTTCTACTGATGCACGAGCTAACAAAGATATTAAGAGAGAGCTGGTGATAATATCAAAGATGAGGCCCATACTAATGGCTACACACATTTATACATGGCAATAAACAGATATGCAAATTCAATTCTCATATGTGATGCTTAAGTACACAACACTCAAGCAACTCAGGAATTGTTAGCGCATGTAATTTGTTTCTCTATTGCTCTGATCATTCAACTTACTGGCAATTTTAAAAGCTTTATATTTCAATCTGAACATATAGATCATTTATAATAATTGACTATATTTTGTGTGTGTGTGAGGAAGATTAGCCCTGAGCTAACATCTGTTGCCATTCCTCCTCTTTTTGCTGAGGAAGATTGGCCCTGGGCTAACATCCGTGCCCATCTTCCTCTACTTTATATGGGACGCTGCCACAGCATGGCTTGCTAAGCGGTGCGTCAGTCCATACCGGGCATCCCATACTGCGAACCCCAGGCTGCCGAAGCAGAGCATGCAAACTTAACTGCTACACCACCAGGCTGGCCCCTATAATAATTATTTTTAAAACAATATTTTCTATAAAATGTTTGGCATCAAGATTAAACTCTCCATCTATTGCTTCTCTGTGAAGATTCATTTTCAAAATCTCTCATGTGTACCGAGGTGTAACTTCTTGTTAAAGGCTTCCTAACATTCTTTAAATTCATAATACTTCTAAGGTTAAATAAAACCTTCAGTTCAGTTAAAAGATTTCCCACATTAATTTCACTCATGAGATTTCTCTTCTGAATGAGTTTTCACATGTTTGGTAAGGGATGCGTTTTGTTTGAAGGCTTTCCCACATTCATTACATTCATAGGGTTTCTCTCCAGTGTGGGATCTCTGATGTATAACAAGTTGTGACTTTGCATTGAAGGCTTTTCCACATTCATTACATTCATAAGGTTTCTCCCCAGTATGAGTTCTCTGATGTACAATGAGGTGTGACTTTTGGCTAAAGGCTTTCCCACATTCAATACATTCATAGGGTTTCTCTCCAGTATGAACTCTCTGATGTTGAGTAAGGCCTTCAATTTGTTTGAAGGCCTTCCCACATTGATTACATTCAAAGGGACTTTCACCTGTATGAGTTCTCATGTGGTAGATAAGAGATGAGCTATGTCCAAAGGCTTTTCCACATTCATTACATTTATAAGGTTTCTCCTTAGTATGAGTTCTCTGATGTATAATGAGGTGTGACTTCTTGTTGAAAGCTTTCCCACATTCATTGCATTCAAAGGGTTTCTCACCTGTATGAATTTTCATATGTTTAGTAAGAGATGAGCTATACTTAAAGGCTTTTCCACATTCATTACATTCATATGGTATTTCACCTGTATGAGTTCTCACATGTTCAGTAAGAGATGAATTATACCTAAAGGATTTTCCACATTCCTTACATTCATAGGGCTTCTCGCCTGTATGAGATCTCACATGTTGAATAAGGTTTGAGCTGTGTCTGAAGGTTTTCCCACATTCAGTACATTCATAGGGCTTTTCCCCAGTATGAACTCTTAGATGGTCAGTGAGGGCATGTTTATGACTGTGGGCTTTGCCACACTGAATACATTCATATGGTTTTTCTCCACTGTGAGTTCTCTGATGTACAACGAGGTGTGACTTTTGGCTAAAAGCTATCCCACATTCATTACATTCATATGGTTTCTCCCCAGTATGAATTCTCTGATGGTCAACGAGTCCTTGCTTATGGCTGAGAACCTTCCCACATTGATTACATTCATAGGGTTTCACTTTAGCTTGGGTTTTTTCAGGCTTAGTAGGAGATGAGCTATGGCTGGATGATTTCTCATGTTTCTCTCCAGGTTGAATATTGTCCCATTTGGTAAGGGATGAGCTATGATGAACTAATTTCTCATGTTTCTTACCAGTTTGAGTTTTGTCACACTTCTTAGATGAGCTATGGTTGGATAATTTCTCATGTTTATTTCCAGTTTGATTTTTTTGTTCCTTTGTATCAGATAAGCTATGGTTGAATGATTTCCTCTGTTCTTTAGTTACACCAGGTTTCTTTTTTGCATAGTTTCTTATATGACCAGGTACGTCTAAATTCTGTTTCAAACTCTTACCATGTGAATCAAATTTCAGAAGCTTTTTTTTTGAAGGAGCATGTTTTGTATTCACCTTTTTTTCCCCCAATGAACTACATTCATGGCCTTTCTTCTTAGTCAGAGTTTTTTTCTTAGATGCAACTTCCCTTAGGAGTTTGTTTTGAGATTCCTGGTGATTCTCTAGCTGGTCATCATCTTGCTGGACTTCCTCTAAAATGGAATTCAATGAGACATTCTTGTGAATCTTTACACTCTCATGTTTTGGAATACAACTTATAAAGAAATGCCCTGTTGTGGTTCAATCTTTATTCAAGCCTAGTATCCCAAAATGAATGAACTATCAAGCGCAAATGTCCCTATCCTCTTGGACTTGAGGGGGAAAGTGCTGCAGTAAAAAACAGGAAAAGAAAATTGATAATAGTGATTAGAAAAAGCTTTGGCTGTGTATGAATATGACCTTGCAACCTGGGATAAAAGATGAAATAACACAAGGAGCAGTGAATAGGGAACAGATGAAGTTAAAAGAGCTTGTGATTGTAGTTGACATTTTTTGAGGTCTCTCCTTAGCCCAAGGTGCAAAGCTTTGATAACTGCCAATTGACCCATAGTATTTTGTTCCCACAGCCTGTACTATATTAATCCAACTCTCCATGGTCACAGTTGGAGACAAATCTGGCTCAAGCCAAGATGTCCAATAAGAGTCTTCCTCCTAAAAATTTAGACTCTAGTTAGTCTCCACTGGATGCTTACATTTAAAAATTATGTAAGACAAGTACTAGTAGAGCCATATTTTCTCTGTGTAAACAGAAAGTTCATCAGTATGAAGAATGAAGCATACACCCACAGAGAAGCAGAGATGTAAGATCATGTGTCCTCAAAGAAACCATTTGCATAATCCTATTCCTAACGGCTTCCCAGTTCCTGGTTCTAATCCCTGGTAAGGTCTGGCTGCAGTATCTGCCCTTAGGATACAAGAGATACACCCATGTCCTTATAATAAATTCCTCTATTTACTTAGGCTAGCTCAAGTAAATTTTTGTTATTGTACCCCAAAGAACCAAAATAGAGAAAATATGGTAAGTCCACCAAGGAGTACTGAACAGCTTATAGGTGACTGAGGAAGTAAGCAGGAAAGGGTGTTCCACTGCTGCCACCCACAATCAATACAGTAATGACACTCTTGTACTAAAAAAAATTCTAGTTTCTCTGAGTTCCCTGATGCTTTTACCATATGATGAAATTCACAGTAATGAGATTGGCAAACAACTTTACACCATTTGGATTTACAGTGTACATACACACTTGTTTTTCAACAGTTTGCTATGGAGCACAGCTTTGTTTCTGCCAGATCACTCTACTAACTGCCATACAAATTTTAAGCTTATTCCCAGCTCTAAGTAGCCGCTCACATTCTTTCCTCCACACATTACACAATTATACATTTAAGGTATCTTCTCAACGGATGCTTCTCTTCTCTGAGACCACCACCCACACTGACAGATGTAGGCAGCCATGTTTGTACTACATGACCCAACTTCTGGTTGAAAACAATCAATTGGACAGTGGTAAACATGGGGCCCCAGGTAGCCCAATAATATTCTCTCTCCTAAGAACTTAAAATAGAAACCCAAAGACTTTTATAATTTTATTTATTTATTTTTCCCCCAAAGCCCCAGTAGATAGTTGTATGTCATAGCTGCACATCCTTCTAGTTGCTGTATGTGGGACGCGGCCTCAGCATGGCCGGAGAAGAGGTGCGTTAGTGTGCGCCCGGGATCGAACCCAGGCCACCAGCAGCGGACTGTGCGCACTTAACCACTAAGCCACGGGGCCGGCCCCCAAAGACTTTTAGCTAGGTATGGATATTACATGTGTAAAAACCTGAAATTCAGAGCTGGGAATACAATTTTGGGGTGGCCTTTTTCAACTGTGTGCACACAAAAGCAGAAAAATCTTCAGGGAGGGAATCCAAACAGACTCAAAGAGAGGAGCATATTTAACAGTTTCCACAACTTCAAGAAAGAGATAGAGAGTGAATAGCCACCTTGGTCATAATGAAACATTATGTGGATAAACTGAAAATTGGGATCAAACAGAAAAGAGTTATAGTATTTTAATACACAGCCAGGAAATACTATTGCTTTTATGGAGGACATTTAAGAGATTATATCCCATGGAGTAGAAGATCAATATTTGCTCTAGATATGGTAATATAGATATGGTAATGGTATAAATATTGTAATGGTATAGATATAGTAGGTAGAAATGGAGTTGCTAGCTGCTTTTTCATTTAGAAAATTTTAAGTGATGCAAGCAACCTGGGAGAAAGAGTATAACAAGACTTTTATGTAGCAATGACAAAGGCAGAATCTTCCAATGGCCAAGGATACTGGGGAGGCAAATTTCCTTCTGGGAAGCAAGGGATCAAAACTCAGACCTTTCCCTTTGCAGCAAAACATTATAAGAACCTCTTATGATGACAGTTTGGGCTGGTTCCAACTAACATTGGCCAGCAGGAAAAGATATAAAGCACTACAAGAGAAATTTACCATGAGGGAAGGGAGGAGAATCTGAACTAGTGAATTGGCATAATAATACCAGAGCAGAGTTGGGTCGGGCAGAGCAAGTGATTAAGGCTGTAAGCTTGTCCTGAATCTGAGATAGTAACTAAAACATGAATTTTAAGCTAAAATGACTATAACTTTAGAAACTGAAGTATGGAGCTCAACAGACCCAGCAAATCATTGGAAGGAGCAGAACAGTCCTTCCTTGAATAATGTCCAAGTACTATATAAGAACCTGAACCAAGAAAAGAGTCACTGTAGCAATGACAAAGATGTATTAAATGACTCAGGATTTTTTTTTTATTTTTAGTTTAACACTAAGTATTGGTGAGAAAAGTAAAGATAGCTAAAACCGGAGCCACTGATAAATGGATCAAAAACTCCATGAGAGAGACAGCCCTGATGGCATAGTGGTTAAAGTTCAGCACTTACAGCTTCAGGGTCCCAGGTTCACTTCCTGGTCATGAAACCACACCACCAGTCTGTCAGTTGCCATGCTGTGGTGGTGGCTCACATAGAAGAACTAGAAGGACTTACAACTAGGATATACAACCATGTACTGGGGCTTTGGGGAGGAGGAAAAAAAATCCTCCATGAGGTCTATTCATTTGTCATTTGAAGGACTGGTTCTTTTGGTTTCAGGAAATTTATGGAGTCTTGGAAAATTCAGGGTGAGAGGAAACTTAAAAAGATATTATGGATATTCTGCTAATTTGGGAACTTTGGTGACATAAATAAGAGCTGAATATATTAATGCTTGGTAGCAACATCTAAGATGAATTATAAGAAAAATAGATTCAACAAATCCACCTAAGAAGGAGCAATTTAGCTATGAGATAATACGAACTGTATTTGGGTGATGTCAATGAGAATGAGGAAGACAAACAAACAAACAAGGAACCAAAGAGAGGTGGTAAAAGAGAAAGCAGAAAGCAAAGATTCACAGAACTCCACGGTAGACAGGACTAAAATCAGAGCAGACCCTGATAAAAATAAGGAAAGTGAAAGGAAGCTCTAATTTAGAAAAAAAGATAAAGCTTTCAATGTCTGACACTCTGAAAATGAGCTGTCCTGTAAGCAAGTAAAATATGAGTGCAAGACAAAGGAACTGGACATTTATCTGGACAAGATAAATTTATCTTGGAAGTCACCTGTGTGGAATAAATAGCTTGTATTTGCATAATGGATGATTCCTTTGAGAGAAATATAATAGAAAAAAAATGAACAGATAGTAGAAGACAAAACCTTAGGGACACCTCAGCAAAGTGAGAATGAAGAGAAGCTGCTGAAATAAAGGGTAAAGAAACACTTAGAGGAAAAAGTCAGATTCAAGTGGTTTAATTCATGCTGGGTGAGCAAAAATTTCAGGCTGATCAAAACTATTAAAATATGCACTGCGAGAGTGACCTCAGCAACATGGTGGAGTGAGTTGTTTCCTTTGTCTCTCCCACTTCGAACTATGACTAAATGGACATTCATTCATCAGCGGAGGATACCCACATGGCACAGCAGGACGCCTGAGATACTCACACACCTATACATCTGAAGGTGGATGGACTACCCCTGGGGAGGTGGTGGAGACAGGTGAGCACTCTCTGGACCCCCAGAAGCCCTGTACACGCGTGTGACTGCTCTCCTGGCTCACCCGTAGCACCGCTGTGGCCCCAAAGCGGGGAGCATGTCTTGGTGGGACTGTGGGAACAGGTGGCAGCAGCCCTGAGCCCCTGCGTGATCGCTTTCCTGTCCAGTAGGAGAGCCCACAGTGCCACCACAGCCCCCAGGGAGTGTCCCAGGCTCGGACTCAGCAGGGAGGCCCTGCCCACCAAGCACAACAGCTAGTGTGACCTAGGAGGAGACGGTGGCAGATCTGTGCACCCAGGCAAATGAGTTCCCAGCTGGCACGACTGCCCAGAGTACCAATGCGGCCCCAAAGAGGGAAGTGTGTCTTGGCGGGACTGTGGCAGCAGGCAGCAGCAGCCCTGAACCCTGGTGTGATTGCTTTCCCATTTGGTGGGAGACCCCACAGACTGCTGTGGTCACAAGGAGTGACCCAGGCTCGGACAGGCACAGCTGATGGGGATTTTGGCAGGCTCAAAATACACAGCTCCTGCCCACCCCAGTGGTGGCAGGTGGAATCTGTGACCAGATAATATCACTATGCAAAGCCACAAATCCACCCCAGAAAGTAATATTGAGAAGTATGTTAATAATCCAGACCAGAAGGAAAAAGACAAACACCCAGAAATCAATCCTAAAGCCACACAAATCTATAATCTAAATGACAGAGAATTCAAAATAGCCATCATAAAAAAACTCAAGATACAAGAGAACTCAGAAAGACAGTTCAGTGAAATCAGGAACAAAATTAATGAACAGAGGGAATTCTTCACAAAAGAGATTGAAACTATCAAGAAAAACCAATCAGAAATGTTGGAGATGAAAAATACAATGAATGAGATAAAGAAAAATCTGGAGTCCTTAAATAACAGAGCTGATATTATGGAGGATAGAATTAGCAGTTTAGAGGATGGGAATTTAGAAATGCTTCTGATGGAGGAGGAGAGAAAACTAAGACTAAAAAGAAATGAAGAAATTCTCCAAGAAATATTCGACTCAATTAGGAAATGCAGCATAAGAATTAGA